TGCCCAGGCGGGTCTCGAACCCGCGGGCTCAGGCCATCCACTCACCTCAGCCTCCCAAAGGCACGGGATGACAGGCTGAGCCACCGAGCCCGACGAGGACATTTTCAAGTGGGTATGGATGAGCCCTCATGCATCCCTCACCCCCAGAATTATTTTGGGGGCAAAACACCCTCAAACGTTTCTACACCCATAAATGCTTCAGTGTTTCTCTTTCAAACAGGCGACACTGGCCTTGTGTGGAGGTGTCATGGCCAGAATTGCTCCTGGCGCAGAGGAGGGGAGAACCGGGATGCTGCTCACACTCACGGTGGCCAGGAAGCCCCTCCCCCCCCAAGAGAACGACCTGGCCCCAGTGGTCACAGCATCCAAGGAGAGAGACCCTGCTCTAAGCCACAGGAGTATTTATTATTTGTCATTATTCTTTTCTTTTTTTTTGCGTTGGAGTCTCACTCCGTCGCCCAGACTGGAGTGCAGTGGCCGCTCCCGGCCACCGCAGCCTCGACCTGCTGGGCTCCGGCGATCCTTCCGCCTCAGCCTTCTGAGTAGCTGGAACGACAGGCGTGCGCTACCACGCCCGGCTGATTTTTGATTTCTTGTAGAGATGAGGTCTCGCTGCCCAGGCGGGTCTCAAACCCACGGGCTCAGGCCATCTACTCACTTCAGCCTCCCAAAGGCACGGGATGACAGGCTGAGCCACCGAGCCTGGCTTCAAAAAACTTTTTTTTACCACAGCCACAACGCTGTTATTTCACCTAAAAATATCATCAGTGGTTCTTCAGCACTGGATCATCTCTTGTGTGCTCAGCTTACTTCTATCGCTTTTTTTTTTTTTTACAGTAAATTTATAGATTTTCAAAAATGTACCTGCAGGTTTGGGTCTCCCCTTTCGTTCTCTGCTCTGAGTGATGTGGGTGTCTCTAGTCCCAGAGGTGGCATCACCAGTCGAACTCAGAGGCTCAGTGTGGGCGCAGGTCATTGGTGGGGTGTACGTCTCTAGCTGGGAACAAGTCGGTCCAGAGGCCCTGCCGGCTTTTGGGTCGGTACTGCGTGGGCTCGGCTGGCTTCCGTTGGTGTTCGTGGGCCTGGCCAGCTTTGGGTCGGCGCCGCGTGGGCCTGGCCGGCGGTGCCGCTGAGTGCTGTGTCCCCGCAGGCCATCATCTGTGCGATTGCGGCCGTGGATGCAGTAGACTACAAGACGGCCGAGGAGAAGTACATCCGGGGGCCTCCGCTGAGCTACCGGTAGGGCCCCCACCTGCGTGTGTTGCGCCGGCAGGGAAGCCGGTCCCCACGTGCCGGTCCTGGCTGCGGGTCACGCATTGATCTGTGCCTGCGCCCTCTCCCTGCGGAGGCTGACGTTTGCGTTCTGAGCTCTCCCTTTGGCTGCAGCCAGGCCTGGCTCCGGGCCAGGCGGCAGGACGCTGTGATCAAGATGTCCCCGCACCGTGTGTCCAGCCGCCCTGGATTTCTGCCCTCGGATCCCCTAATCCGCCTCTGGGCACACAGCCAGGCCTTGATGGAGCCAGGGGACCACAGCCGTGACAGGCTGAGGACTCAACTAGGGCCGAAAATGGGGTCTCCGGCCAGGGCTGGCCCCGCCTCCTCCCAGGCATGTGGTCGCGGCCGTTATGTGGGGAGCTCGCTGCTCCAGTGGCCCCACGTCCACCCTGGGGAGGTGCCCACTGGCGATGCCAGGGAGAGGGGGCCAGGGCGTCCACAGGGCTCTCAGAGCCGTTGGGCTCGGGGGTGGGGAGGGCGTTGTTCGCGTGTTCTTGACCCCATGAGTTGCCAGCGAGAAGGCATTCAGAAGCAGCCACACGGTGCTTGCGTTGGCAGATCCACGTGGTCCGGCCTGTCATGCTCACCGAGTGAGCGAACAGTTCTGGGGAATGCGTGACCCTGCCCGCGTCCCCCCTCGCCCCCTCAGGGCCTCTCAGTCACTCCCCACCTGCACCTCCTGCCACAGCTGCGCTGGTGCCTGCTCCAAGCCGCCAGCGCCAGACGCTTCCCGAGGCCTTGGTGGCTCCTGCTCACTGGAAGCATCTCGAGAGAACCGTGTCGAAGGGACACTTGGTGCCGTGGTGGGGAAGCCCGCGGGTCACGCGCACAGGCCACCACAGCATCCAGCGGGCACGCGTCAGGGAGCGGTGCCCTCAGGCTGGGGGCCCAGGACTGGCCACGCCGAGTGTAGATGACACTCTCCACATGCCATCCTTCGCAGAGTCCCATGTGCAGAGCTGTGCGCAGGCCTGGCTTGTCATTGACACGTTGCAGATCCGTGTGGCCGCTCCCCTGCCCGTCTGTGGGCGTTTGGGGCCGTCCTGGTGCCTCCTTCCGGCTGGCCCATCGTGCCCGTGTTGAGGCCTTGACAGGGCGACATCAAAGCCAGCTGCCTGTCTCTTTTGTCCCCAGCCTTGTTCCCGGGGGCGGCTGGTGTGCTCCTGTCAGACAGTCTTGCAGGGAGGTTGCTTAATAGGACAGTTTGATGTTTTATCTCCTCTTTAGAAAATTATTTTCTAAAGTTGTTGCAAAATCCACACAGCTCAGCGGCTCTGACGCACTCGGCTCTGTGTCGCCGTCACCGCCGACCCCTCGAGCCGTACATCCTCCCACACTGGCTCTGGCCCCACAAAGCCACGGCTTTCCGTTCTGCACCCTGCAGACCCCAGCGGCTCGGTGCTCAACACCCGCTGTCCTTTGTTTCCTGAAGGGAAAAGGAAATATTTGACAACCAGCTCCTGGAAGAGAGGACTCGGCGCCACCGGTGACACGGCCCGGCCAGCCCTTGCGCCGACGGCGGGGGAGGGGCGCCGGCATCGTGGCCTGGTCTCCGCCCTCGGGAAAGCTCCTCTGAGTCTTCAAGGCGCAGCTCCTGAACGGGCTCTGAGGGCCGGCCTGCGTCCTTGGCCGCTGGGCACCTGTGGCCTCGGTGCGGCTGCTGCTTGGTGTACGGGCACCCTGTTCTGCGTGGCATTGGGCATTAAATCGTTTTTGCACAGCATCTGACTGAACATGCTCCAGAACACAGGTGTCTCCAGTGCTCGTGTGAGCCTTCTGGACGTGTGAGGGGGCAGTGGGTGGCCACGGATGGGCGCCTGTGCTGGGGGCGGGCAGGCAGGGGCGGGCACTGGCCTGGGCGCCGAGGGGCTTGGTGCAGCTGGCGGCCTGGTCGCTTCGGCCAGATCTTGCACCCTCCCTGCCTCTCTGCCCCACGTGGGTGTCTGCGCATGGCATCTGTCCCCTGCGCTGTAGTCAGTGGCCTTGGTCACGTGTCCCGATGGCTGGGGCAGCACACCAGTGTGGCCGTCACCCTACCTGGCGGCCACCGCAGTCATGGGGCGGCCGTGGGGTCTGGCGTGGGAAGGCCGTGGCCTTGATGGTCTGACACCTGGGCCCTGGAAGTGGGGCCTGCCTGTGAGGTCACGGCCAGACACACGGAGCATGCATTCTGAGCTGATGCCCAGGACTTCGTGTCACAAGCCGACCCTCCGACGGGAGCCTGGTCAATGCTGGCGGGGCCGGCCGCACGGCCCCCAGCCCCTCTGGCTGTTCCCTGCCCATTGGGTCATCTGATCTGGGTGGATGCCTGTTACCACATGCAGAAGCTGGGCTGCGTGGGGGGGCGGGCCACCAGGACACCCTGGAGAGATGCGGTGGCCGAGGTGTGCTTGACCACGGGCACTGCGCGCATCCCCGCCGACCGTCTCCCTCGCCGTCGCTCAGGTCTGCGTGTCGCAAACCCAGGCCCCGGCTGGGCCGCCCCACAGCCTCGCCTTCCTGTGCTGCCACCTTGTGCCTGTGGAGGCCTGTGAGCCTGGCGGACGAGGGGGCGGGAGGCTGCCGGCCGCGCTCCTTGGACACAGCTCACGGCCTGTGCCTCCCGTGGAGAGGCCCACCAGCTGCCATCCATGGGGCCAGGGACACTGGCCGGTCGGACGCATGCGGTCCCGTGGCCAGATGCCCCGGGAGGTTCTGGGCACACAGAGCCACCGCCCCAGACTGACTTGTGCGTCTTCTCGTATTTCACTTCTCTCCCGGCTTTCGCGGCGTTGTCCAGGGCAGTGCGTCGACGCCTCAGCCTGGGATTGAATGCCGTTTATGAGCTGGGGGCACTGGCCTGCCTGGACCCCAGATGCATCCTGCCTACTTGGCAGAGCCGCTTCTCAGGAACTCGGCCTGCGGCTGGAGCTCGGAGGTGGAGGCGGAGGCTGGGTGCAGTGGCTCACGCCTGCCATCTCAGCACTTTGGGAGGCCAAGGCAGGAGGTTCACGTGAGCCCAGGAATTTGAGACCAACCTGGGCAACAGAGAGACCCCATCTCGATGAAAAAATACAATCTCTGCTGGGCACGGTGGCGCCTCTGGTCCCAGCTACTCGGGAGGCTGAGGCGCGAGGATCACCTGAGCCCAGGAGGTGGAGGCTGCCGCAGGACACGACGGCACCACCGCACTCCAGCCTGGGCCGCAGAGCCAGACTCTGCCTCTGAGGAAACAAAAAAGAAACAGAGACGGCCCCTGCCGTTTCGAGGTGCCAGGCCCCCTCCGGGCCGTGTGGGAAACTGTTGAAGCAGCAGCCAGGCAGAGCAGACGTCGAGGGCCCAGGTTATCGAGGCAGGATACACCGTGCTGGTGAATGAGCTGGAAGGCCATGGTGCAGTCCCCATGCCCACCTCAGCCCTGGCCCAGTTTCCCCCGAGCCCCACCGCCCCGCACTTCTGTTTTCTGTGGACTGTGAGGATGTTGGTTTCAGAGCTGGCCTGGGCAAGCCAAGCTCTGATGTGTCCCTTGGAGGCGGGACATCAGTTACACCCTCGTTGTCTGTAGCAGGTGGGTAGGAGGCTGGGGCCACCGGCCTGGCTCGTGCTCAGTGAAGAATGTTCCAGGCCGGGCTCCGTGGCTCAGCCTGTAATCCCAGAGCTTTGGGAGGCCAAGGTGCGTGGATGGCCTGAGCCCGCGGGTTCAAGACGCGCCCGGGCAGCTTGGCGAGACCTCGTCTCTACAATAAATAAGTAAAAAATGAGCTGGGCGTGGTAGCGTGCGCCTGTAGTTCCGACTCCTTGGAAGGCGGAGGCGGAAGGATCGCCGGAGCCCAGCGCGTCGAGGCTGCGGTGGCCGCACTCCAGTCTGGGCCGACAGTGAGCCTCCTACCCACCCCCCCAAAAAATGTTCTAGAAGGGCCTGAGGAATTGACCTGGCAGCCGGTGGCTGGCCTGGTGCACTTGCTAACAGAGCGCCAGAAGACAGACCTGACCCATGTTTGCAGGGTGCAGCAAGCACCTCCCTGTGTGTGTGCCCTCCTGCCGGGAGGCTCCACCCCCGTCCGCCTGGAGGTTCGCTGTCAGCCCTCCCCTCGTCCCGCCCTGTGGCCCCTACCCAGGGCTCCCCCAGCTTGTGGATCCCTGGGGGGCGTCCTGGGCCCTGCGGGGGTGAGCCCCGTCTCTGGCCTGCATCCCCTCCGTGCCTGGAGCTCCTCACCGCGCCCGTCCCCAGAATTCACCCGGTGCCATCAGAATCACCCCAGCTGAGACCCCCTGGCCCCAAGAGCCTCTCATGCCTGAACCCTCTGCCCTCCGGAGGCCCCAGGGGGCTGCACCCTTGGAATCCACACACCGAGGGGGAGGGGGAGAAGGTGAGTCCCAGGGCTTGGGGTTCCCAGGTCCATACCGCCTGTCCCCTCGGGAGCTGATTCTGGATCCTGTGAGCAGGGAGCAGGCTCACCCTTTTTCCAGATAACTAATTCACAGTCTCCCCAGGCCCTGTGGATGACGGAGCCCAGTTGTTCTCTGAGCGGGGCCGCCTGACACCCCCAGCGCCAGGAGCACCCCCAGGCGTGACACCCACACCCATCCCCAGACGTCGCCCTGGGCCCCCTGGAAAACAGCTGTCCACACACAGCCGGGCTCCCCCACCCTCCCCGTCAGGGTCAACCCCTCCCGCCACCCTTGTCTGCCAGCTGCTGCCCGGCCTCCCTGCCCAGCCCTGCCCCCCCACACGCCACGCCCTGCCCTGTGCACCTGGCCCTGCCCGAGCCTCAGGCCGCACCCCCGACGCCAGTCTGCTTGCTCAGTGCCGACAGCCTGCGAGAGGAATCCAGCTCCCTTGGGGAGGCGGCACGCGAGACCTCTTCACGGGTTTCCGGAGTGTCGCCCGAGAAAGGAGCCCACGCCACGGGGGCGCGGTGAGTCACCTTCCACCCCTGCTCAGCCTGAGGCCCCAGGCAGGACTGCTGGGGTGAGCTCACAGCTCCCTGCAACCCCAGCTTCCTGGGCTCAGATCCGCCTGCCCCAACCTTGGGATGGCAGGACAGAGGCCCACAGTTCTGGTGGCTCTGCCTGCCTTGGCCTCCCCGGGTTCCTCCCCCGTGGGCCTCTTACCCTCCGTCTGGCCCCCGCGGATTCCGGTGACGTCCTCAGCCCTCTGCTCGCCCGATCCCTGCTCCCGGTCATCCTGGGAGCCCAGACCCTGAGCTCCCCCGCCCCTCGGTCCATCAGCCCACCCGTCAGCCAGGATGCTGGCCATGCCTCCCTCTGGCTGCCCAGCGGGTCCCCGACCTAGTGGCCACCATCATTCTCCCGCAGTTTCTGTGGGTCAGGGATCCCAGACCCTGGCGTGGTGGGGGCGGCAGCCACGTGCTGGCTGGACCGGGTCTAGGGCTCTGGGAGCCTAACTGGGCGTGGCGTGGGTAGGGGCCTCCTTCCTTCCACACTGGCCTCTCCTCAGGCCAACAAAGCATCGTCCTTCCCTGGTGCTGGCTCTCCCCAGGGCAGGTCACCAGGGACACAACCCCATCCTGGCCACACCCTCCCCATGGACACCGCTGGTCCCACGGAGCGGCCCTAGTGGAATGGGAAGACGCTGGTTTGAAGGCGAGGGCGTGGGTGGCAGAGCCCTTGGCCCAGCCCCCCCAGGGCCCACCCCAGCCCTGTGTGCCCCCCACCCTCTGAGCACTAGGGCCAAGAGGGCCAGAACCCCCCAGTGGGCTCCTGGTTTCTTCAGAAAATACTACAAATAAGGCCTGCCGGAGACACAGAGGGCATGCTGCCACCTTTGATCCTATTTTTAAAAACCCACGAAAAGCCGGGCTCGGTGGCTCAGCCTGTAATCCCACGCCTTTGAGAGGCTGAGGTGAGTGGATTGCCTGAGCCTGCAGGTTCGAGACCCGGCTGGGCAACTTGGCGAGACCTCATCTCTACAAAAAATCAAAAAATCAGCCGGGCATGGTAGCGCACGCTTGTAGTTCCAGCTACTTGGAAGGCTGAGGCGGAAGGATCGCCGGAGCCCAGCAGGTCGAGGCTGCGGTGGCCGGGAGCGGCCACCGCATTCCAGTCTGGGCGACAGCAAGACTCCAACTCAAAAAAAAAAAGAAAACCCATGAAAGTTCAGGTGCAGTGGCTCACACCTACAGTCCCACACTTTGGGAGGCTGAGGCAGGAGGATTGCTTGAGCCCAGGAGTTAGAGGCGGCAGTGAGCCATGATCACGCCACTGCACTCTAGCCTGGGCAACAGAGTGAGACCCCAAACGCAAAAGAAAAAAAAAACATCCGTGAGAGAAACCCCAGGTGAGTCTTGACTGGACTTCCAGGCCTGCCCAGGGTGTCAGATGGGTGTCAGGGTTCAGAGGTCTCTGGGGATGAGACCGGAGGAGGGCACCAGGGGGCGTGGACATCTGAGAAACTGTCAGAGCCCAGAGGGGCCCAAGGAGACACAATGAATAAATGCCATATGGGGTCCTGGGGCAGGGACATTAGGGGAAACCGAGGAAGTGTGAATAAAGCATGGACTCTGGTTGATAATGTATCAACATTGGTTTATTAACCATGACAAACGTACCACTATGCTCATGTAAGATGCAAATAAGGAACAGTGGGTACTGAGCACCTAGGACGCCTCGCAGCTGTCTTTGTAGCTTCTCTGTAAACCTCGATTTCAGTTTTTTTTTTGAGTTGGAGTCTCACTCTGTCGCCCAGACTGGAGTGCAGTGGCCGCTCCCGGCCACCGCAGC